AAAAAATTTCATAATTATTAAAGTCTTAGATTCCTATAAATTTTTTAATTTTAAATATGGGCTAGAAATTGGCCTGAAAATTTCTATTTGAAGACATCGCAAGGCCTGATCAAAAACCAAGGTCCATGCAACTTTCATATTCTGATTGTATTTTTAAATGAATTGTGACTTTTTATATATATTTTATTTCAGTTCTCAACTAAACTATAAAAAGTCTTTGGCGAGTTTGAGAAAATTTTCCCAAGTGTTAGGAGCTGGCTTGGGATTTTTATATTAAGCATAGGTGTAATATTGAACACAGAATATTTATATGGCTCTCAGGTAAAAGCTAATTTAAATATTTGGTCGGGGTGAGCTGGGTTAAAATAGAATAAAAAATAGATAAGGTTTTTAGAGATTTACCTATCTCCATGTTTGGGAAAAAAATTTGAAAATTACTAAGGGTTGGCCAGGTTTGAGACAAAATTTTATAAAATTATTATGGGTTGGGCTGAGCTTCAAAAATATTTTTATATTGGGCTGGGCTTGGGGAAAATTTTTCTAAATTATTATAAGTGGGAATTTTTTTAATATTAAATATTAGGTATAAGTGATCAGTAATATTTAACAAATAATATTGGTATCATCAAGTTAAAGCTCTAAATTTATTCTTACTCAAACCATAGTATTTACACTTAGTTTTAATGGATTGAACCCGGCCTGAAGGGGGGAGGGGGTAAAAAGAATAAAAATTGAATATTATTTTCAAATAACAGGTAACATCTAGCATAAAAATAAGAAGAAAATTCTCATCCCCCGTCATTTTTGACGAATTCGGTACAAAAGAGCGAAAAAAATATGATTAAATGTTCCCATAATTTATAAATAAGGTCATGAATTCTATTAATAAATATTATTATTTTTATTGTTATATATGGTAAATATTAAGTATTTTTTAATGTTTAATAATAATTTTTTAAATATATAATAAAAATATTTTCTTAAAATTATTCTTAATATCATTTTGTTCTATATATTTTTAATCTAATCTATATCTTTTATCACTAGCCTAAACATTCAATAAAGCAAGTGTTGTTTTAGTTTTTAAAATATTTCATTCTATTATGTTGAGAAAAATCTAGAATAAAAAAGGCAGTATTAAATATATCTCTACATTATTCACTTTTTTGATAAGTGTCCCTATCAAAATAATAGGCTTTCGATTTTTTATTTTTAGTGTTAAAGCCTTCTATATATATATATATAAACTAGCTATTTCTTTATTTAATAGTTTAGATTTTAGAATGATAAAAAATTTACAATTATTCTATATATTTAAAAAAGGTATTTTGAAAAATAATATACGCTAACTTGCGGATTGAATATTATTGAAATTATATAATTTTTTGTTTTTTTATAATATAATTATATAATAATTTTAAACATATATTAATAGATTAGATGAAATGTAAATTATATTTATAAAAATTTTATAAAAAGTTTATAAACTTGAATATTTAATTGCCTCAGTTGGGATTTTCATGGTATTTATTTTCTACATATTAAAAATTTTCTCCATGTTGGGAACATTTGTTGGGAACATTTGTTGGGAATATTCCCAACTTTTCGCTCTTTTACTTTTCGCTCTTTTGCTTTTCGCTCTTTCGTTCCCATAGCATTTTTGACGGACTATCTACTAGTATAGTTTATAATCCTCTATTGTATACAGTTGTTTATAAAATATTAGATAAAATGTCACTTTTATAGACGTATTTGACAGTTTAAAATATTACAGTTAATATTATAAAAATTTTACTAATAAATGGTTTTGATAATAAATATAGTTACAATTTGCATTCAAGTATTTAACGCCATCTATTTAGTTATAAATAATTTTAAAAATTAAACATTTTACCTGCAATAGATATAATAAATTTGATATCTTTTCTTCTCTTTTTTACGTGATTTTAGGAAAGCTATTTTTTTCTTTTTCGAAAAACAGTTTTGAGTTAAATTTTTAATACAAGTATATTTTCGATATTATTACAAACTATTATTGTTTTAAGATATAATATACCAAGGTGGTGCGACAATATAAAAAATTTTAATTGCTTCATCATATCATTCTGGTCCTTATTTTATAGTTACAAAATGTTTCATCTATAATATGGCATAATTGCTATGTAAATAACTTAAGGCTTCAATATATTTGCATAATTTCTTCTAAAGATTTTTAGTGTTTTAGTTTTTTAATTTATCTAACATAATAAATTCTGATATGAGTTAACATTATGAGTGTCATAGCTATGACTGCAAATTAACCAGCATCTATTATTTATTTGGCTATGTAAGTTAAGGTTTTACTACAGCTGCTGAGAGCATTTGATTGCATATTTTAGTTAAGCAATATTGGTCAACTGTGTAATCGCTTAAATATCATTAAAAGTGGAAGAAAATCTTATGGAAATTTAATATCTCACATTAATTTTCTCTATTACTTATCTGGCTTCCAACATGTCATCTTAGTGGAAACTCTAACCATCATATAGTTTTATGATTTGGATTGGTCGTTTATATTCTCTTCTTCAAGAATTGTTGATTTGGTTAGGCCTACAAATTTTTCCTTATTAGTTTATTCTATAAATCATTGTCTAAAATAAGAGTTATATTAGTTTCTTAACCTTTTGTCAATGTAAGTTGCTAAGAATTATATTGCATTATGTAGTTTTTTAAAAAACCATTATCAATAGAGGCTTATGTATGAATTAATTAATCTTTTTTATTACTTGTAATTCTTTAGACTCAAATTTTTTTTATATCAGCAATCGTAAATATTATATACTGTAATAAATAGATTTTGTATTAAAGAATATTATTTTTAGAAATGTCTTATATTGTTTAAATATTTATATGCAAGTTTATTTTGTATGCATTATAGAATAAATGACAAAATATGAAATTCAGAATAATTTTTCAGAGTTAGTAAATTTAAAAAAGTATAATATATTAAATATAAACCCCGGAAAATTATTTTTGAGCCCCCTGAGATTGTAAAGGCTGGCGATGCCCCTGCTATATTTTTCCACTAGAAAAGATATTAAGGAGCCAGAGGAAGCTATGGAAAAAGTTTTGACTGCAAACAGAATGGGCGAGCACCAATCAACTGGACATTCACCGGCAAAATTGGGCGCAAGAGAATCTAAAACTGGATTAGATTGGTTTACATCCAAATTTTAAGGATGAAATGGAAACGATATAGTATGCGAAAAAAAGACAGCGCATGATGAACACATTCAAATGAGGAAATTCGAGGTTTAACAATGGGTGTAATCAATGGAGAGAATAATTATAAAATCCAGAACTTATAGATATTCTTATTTGGTAGAAGGTAAGGATAAAACAATACGAAAGTATGCGGATCAACTGCGAAAAGGGATGTAGCGAAAAAATAGAGAAGTCAGGGAAGGAGGAAGAAAATATGGAGTGGGATATAGTTGAAATTTTGGAAAATGTAGAAGGATCACATATAGAGAAGATAACGGCGAAACGGAAAAGACTCATAAAAATTTGGGTACACAGGATATGTTTTTATAACCTCGAGAACTATAAACAACAATGAGGCGGAAATAACAACGATCGAGGAAACATGCACATCGTCTGATTGAGGAGTTTTAAAATATAAAGTGTGGGGAAATTTGGCTATAAATGCCATATATTATAGTTCATACATTTTATATTACATTCTATTTGGTTATATTATTATGATGATTGACATTATATATTTTCTAATGAATGCAACAATAAAGTCATATATTGTATAATTTAGTATAAACTTAATTTTTAAAAATCCTATGATGAGCCATCATTTATAGCTTCAAATATTTTTAATTAAACTTTTTTTCATGACTATTTTAGGCCAGGGAATAATAAATAATCATCAGTTGATGATAATTAACTACATGTTACTAAGATTATTTTAAGTATTAGCCACGAGCGTGTATAACTTCAAACTGTACTAAAATGCTATTTGTGAATGAATGAGATAAATATTTATTAATTAATTAAAATTTTTTATCATTTATTTATATTTTTAATCTATAGTGTTTATTTTAATTTACCTACCCCCATTGGATGCCAACCCTCTATTCCCCCCCCCCCCCCACCTTCAAATAAAATGGAGGCGGGTCACCCCTATCCCCTTTTTCATGTAATTGTTGAATGTAGGTGCTCGATTCAAAAACTCCCCTTTTATTAAAAATGTACCATTTCCTATAAAAAGCATCTTGCAGTCCCGTTAATATATAGCTAGTATAAATTACTAATTTTAGTTAAATCAATTATTTTAAAAATTCCTTACTATATATATATATATACTAAATTCAAAAAGAAATTGGCCTAGGAAACTAGTTGCGCGATTAATAGAATATGATGGGCTTCGACAATATATCGATGAAGATATTACTAATTAATAATTTTTAAAGTACATTAACAACTGAATGGAAACTTTATCTTACAGCAGAGGAAGAGGTTTCATCTTATGATTTTGAACATTATACATAAACGAAAGAAATTAAGAGTAAATAATCCGTCAAATTTAATGTTCATAAACATTAATGGACTCGATATGAAAATGGATTCCAAGTCATTATATCAAAATATGTAAAGGGAATCATCTCGGGCAAAATTTAATCTAATTAAGGAAAAATACAGCCCAGAGAAAACGAAGAAATAAAACATTTATGGAAATTTGTTTAAATTCATATTTTTATATAAAATAATTTGTATAGATAACGGTGGCATAAGTTATCTTTGTGAAATAGACTTCATTAATTAAACAATATTTAAAATTTATTTTTTTAAATAATGACTCTTATTAAAATTTCAAAAAAAACTTTTATTTATAGAAAAACTTAAATAAATTTAATCCGAGGCCTTTAAAAACAAGCCGAAAACCACTCTGCAAAATTGAAGGGGGGAGGGATAATATATTGCGCTTGTCAATGTCAAAAGATATAACCTGCCATTTTTATTTCTAAACCTATTTAATTTTGACAAAGTATACGTAATGTCAAGAAGAAGAGATAGAAATCGCATTTCTTCTTTATATTTAAGAAACCTAAGCTATAATACCACGTAGAATTTAAATTTAATGTAAGTTTCTATAATATTTATAGGATTGAGGATCTACGCCCAATGTTTGTTAAATTTGGTCCTGTAAAAGATATTTATATACCTCGGGATTATTATACAAAAGAAGCTCGTGGTTTTGCATATATACAATATCCTTTTTATAATAATCTTAGAATATTTATAATTTATATAATTTTTATATTTATAGAATTAAAGATAAAGCATTTATGATAAATTTAGATTACCTGATGTTTCTAAAGGTTATAGATTTAATTAATAGAATGAAATCAGGGACTTGCTGAGATATAAATTTTAATCTGGCCTGGATTTAAATCAAATTTGTTTAACTCAGCTTGATATATATTTTTCATCATCTTTTGACCTGACTTGGAATTTTATAAATTTTAATAATTTTTTCAAAGGGAAATTAAAGCAGTAAATGAATATTAAATGTTCTATTATAGACTCTAAAATTTTTCCACTGAATAATTTAAAAGTCAACCTGGCCTAGATTTTTTAAAATTTTGAACATGGCTTAGCCTAGATTTCTTAAAATTTTAAAGCCTGGATTTTTTAAATATTATCATTTTTTGGCTTGTTTTATGTCAGGTTCTAGGCAAGGCTTGCAGGTCTCTGATTACTATGTTTCCTATAAAATTTATAACAATATCCATTTAAATTTTGCACTCTTTCATATAAAGATTGTTGGTAAAGATTTAAAGATAAAGATCCATATAGATATATATATATATAGTATATATCAATAAAGATAAAGACCTAAAGATAAAGATCCTTAAAGTTAAATATTTTTAGGGCAATATTTCATTCAATATATTTTTTTCTATGAGTAATTTGAATAGTTTTTGCAAGTATAAATAAATAATTACAGTTTTTATTTATTAATATTAATTAAATTTAATACAATCTTCTAACAGAATTTATATGATATTCCTTAACTAAAACCTACATATCAGGATTGGCGAGATGCTGAAGATGCTCTATATGAACTTAATAGAGTTGTTATAAAAGGTAGAGAAGTTGAAATAGAATTTGCTCAAGGAGATAGAAAAAGTAATTTATTAAAAAATATTTAAAAAAAAACATTTATTGCAATAATTATACAATATTTCACCATACAGCTTACTAACATCGTCAATTAGAACAATAAATTTTAAAAATTAAGAGGTTATCTAAGAAACAGCAATGAATCATTGCCGGCAGCAAATAAACTAAAAAGTAGAGTTAGTTTGGTGCAGCCCAAAACCATGAAGTTTTTTGCAAGTTTTTTGGCTTGGCCCTAAATTTTTTTTGTCCCTCTTTTAAAATAATTTTTGTTAAGTATAAGAGATAAATATGCTTAGCATGATCATAAGTTTTAAAAAATGCAATTGGACTATCCTGTAAAAATAATTTGCACACGTCTGGACTGTGACCCTGAAAAGTATCCTTATATAAAAAATAATTAGGAGCAAACTAAATTTTTCTAAAACCAGTTTTTAAAAAATTTTTTAATATTTAATTTAGGACCATTTATTGACACACTCTAGCCCCTTAGGGAATTAATAGTAGACAACATTGTTTACCAGTCCAATCATATTCATTACAATTAAATTTGTCTGATGTTTGGCCTAAAAAGATGTGTAAATGTTTCACCAAATATCTCTTCAAAATCAAGAAAGAGGGAAATGTGAGTGAGGTATTGACACAATTACTAACGTTTAGTTTGGCTGAATATATATCTTTACAAAATCTGAGTTGGGGTATTTTACAAAAAAATGATTTAGCTAAAGGGACCACAAAATATGGCCTTCATTTCCTTCTTTTTTTTAAATATTTTGGTTTCTATTATATTCTAACATCAATTCCATTAATGTTTTTAAGCTTCTTCCAACAATTTTTTTATCTTTATTTTAACATTAAAACAGACGTGCAGAGGCACATTTGCACTGCCCAGTCCAACCTTAATTTTTTTCAAAATTTTTTTTTGACCAGGCCCAGTCCAGGTTTTACTGGATATTTTTTAAATATATATTTTTTAAAATTTTTATAGCTAGTAATGGCGATTTAAGTATTTGGTTTTAAAATATAGGCCCTGGCCTGGTATTTTTTTGAAAAAAAATTTCAGGTACAGTCATTTAAAAAAAAAATTTAAGCTCGGATTGGGTATATTTAAAAATTTAAAATAAAAGAAATTCAATATCTATTTCATCTTTAGTTTTTATTATATACTAGTTGATAGCCCGTCAAGAATGACGGGAATTAATGTTCTTAAATATTGGATATTAAAGTACCTTATATTAGATTAAAATTTAGTAGAAAAAGAGGTAAATTTGTAAATCATACCTCATAAAATATTCTTAATTTCTGATTTAAATATTGGAAAAAATATTATTACCCGCCTTTCTCGAAGGGCATAATATACCTAATAATAAAAAAAGTATATAAAACTAAATAAATAAGTAAACTTTTGTTTTTTTAGGGATAATATTTTTCATTGTAAGTAAGGATTAAATAAGGTGGGCTTAACATTAAAAAAATATTTAAAACTTAAATAATTGAACACTACTTTAAAATACGGCCCTTTGAAAATTCAGCTTGGATGCTTGGGAATATTTTACAGTATTAATTATGGGTCAGACCTGGGCTAGCCTGATTAAAAAATCAAGGCCCATGGAAATCTGAATTTGATTGTATTTTTAAATTCAGTAAGATATTTTAAATATTTTATTCCAGTTCTCAACTACCAAAATTTTCATATTTAGTTGGCCTTGGGGGATTTTTTTCAAAATTATTATGGCCTTGGACATTGCTTGGGAATTTTTTGTATCAAGTAAAAGCTTTAAATATATTTTTAAAAAAATGGGATATTATGTTTAAATCTGGTAACAACTACCATAAAAGTGAAATAACTGGTAACAACTACCATAAAAGTAATGAGAAAATTCTCATTCCCCATCCTCTGCTAAAAGCTAATCTATATATATTTTTACTCAAAAAATAGCATTTAGTCTTAATAGCTTTAAATATATTTTAACTTCAAGCATAGCATTACATTTAATGGATTAGACCTGGCCCAAAGAGAGAAGAGGGTTATCATAATATTTAACACATAATATTTATAGGGAACTCTGGTAAAAGTCAATTAAAATATTTTTTTAATCAAAAAATAGCATTTAGTCTTAATAGGTTGGCTGAGCTTTGGAAATTCAGCTTGGACGTTTGGGAATTTTTTTTTATTAACTATGGGTCAGACATTGACCTAAAACAAATTTTTCAAAGGCCTGGGCTATCCTGATCAAAAAAATCAAGGCCCACGAAAATCTGATTTTGATTGTATTTTTAAATTCATTAAGATTTTTTAAATATTTTATTCCAGTTCTCAACTACCAAAATTTTCATATCGTTGGTTGGGCTTGGGGGTTTTTTTTCAAAATTATTATGGCCTTGGACCTTGCTTAGGAATTTTTTGTATTAAATATATTTTAGCTTAAAGCAAAGCATTACATTTAATGGATCGGACCTGGCCTGAAGAGAGAAGGGAGTTATAAGGAATAAAAATTGGATATTATTTTGAAATAACTGGTAACAACGACCATAAAAGTAATGAGAAAATTCTCATTCCCCATCCTCTTAAAAAAGACTATTCTTAAAATATTTTAAAAAAAACAATGATTACCTGAAATAACTGTTAACAACTACCATTGATTTAAATGTTTCCTTAAAATAGTTAAAATATATTAAATAAAAATTAAACTTTTGGTTGAAAATGGTTTGCTATTTTTAATATTCCATTTTTAAAAAATTTAAAAAATAAAATGGTCGTTATAAATTAATTAAAAATGGAATAATTAAAAATATTTTACCTTAGCCATTAAAAAATAAAGAAAATAAATTTAAACCAATAGTATTAGAGCTTAATAATCCAATGAAAAAAAATAAATATTGATTAAATTTAGTTAATTACAAAATATAAAGCTTAAAGGGGCTGAACGGTAAGAACGTTTGCCTCACGGTAAGAACGTTTGCCTTTGAAATTAAGGCGCGAGTTCGAATCCCCGAGTAAGAAAAATTTTTTTTTTTTAAAATTTAACATTACCGAGATAATAAAAGCCCTCGATTTATTTAACATTAAGAAGATAGGAAAGTTGATAGAAAAAATAAAAATTAACGTTATGAAGATATGAAAGTTGATACCAAAAAAAACTAGCGTTATAAAGATAGGAAAACGTTCATTTCTTGAATACGGCTATTATATATATAGATTTGGATATAATCATTGGGTTAGTGTGATATTTAAAAATTTTATTAAGATTTTAGCAGTGGACTTAATAATAATAAGACTAAAATGAATGTGAAATTTCTGAGTCACATAGGTCTAGCCATGGGGTGTGAAGTAATTTGCTTGTTCTTGTTAATATCATTTTGAGATGAGATTTTCCCTTACAGCCTTCACCATATAGTTGCCAGATTTACCACATTGACTATTACAACTTTTTTAAAGTCAGAGACAACCAATTCAATTACCACATTTTTAAAATTTCAGAAATATACTATTAAAACTTCTACAAAATCTCCCAAATATAACAAAAATCATGTATTATTTTAATAAAGACATTTCAAAATAAAGAGATTCAATCCCCTCTTTCTATTGGATCCTTTGCCCTTAAATTTGTTGTTTTATTTGATAACTAATAAAAAGTGTGTATTTTATATAATTCATGGCCATATTAGCTAATTTACGCCAGGCCTTTAAGGAGGGGGATAGGGGATGCCAGAAAAATAATTTAATGATATACCCAAATATTTAATAAAAAGTTTTGTATAAATGAACCAAAATTATGTCACCAGTGGGGCCTAGCTGAAGGTTGTACAAAAGCTGGCCACATGCTCATAATATAAATATATAATAAAAATTGATACAATTTAAAATTTTTGATCTGACAACCTTGCCTCCCCCCTCCCACCCTCCTTTCTAAAAATATTTGTAATATCTCATTATAAACAATTATTTGAAAGAAAAAGTAAAAGTTAATAATTTTTTAAATATATTGACTCTAATTTAAAATATTTAATCTTTTTTATATTGAAAAAATGGAAACCCAAAATGATTCTTTAAAATATATAACATAGCCAAAGGCCTGCAATAAGTGATTTTAAAGATCACCTATAAAATGTATGGAAACTCTCAACCTAATAGTGACTTACCCTTAGCAAAATCCTGGTTACATCGATGCTATACATATACCAAGCCCTTTAATTCATGATTAAATTTTTTGCACTCTTCTCAATTCTTCTCTTTTTTTTTAAATTTTATTTCAATAAAAGAATTCCAAATAATCTCATTTTTTTGAACAAAAATTATAAAATATAATTATTTTTAAGGATTGATATTTATCAATCATTAAATTTTAACTTGATAAATGTTGTAAAAATTATTCAAACTAGAGATCTTAAAAAAATTTGGGTTTGGGCTGGGTTGGGCCTAATCTTGATTGGGTCCAAATGATTTAACATAAATTTAATAAATTTAGATTATTTTATTCCAAGGAACAAAAGGCACCAATATTTTTTATTTGCAAAATAAAAATATTTAACCTTATTAATTTGTAGAAAGGCACCATATGGTATATATCATTTATTTTGGGTTTAATATTTTTTTTTAAAAGATTTAAATTATAATTTTTTTATTATTCAATTTTTAACAAAAAATAAAATAAAAAATGGATATAATTTTTTTTAAAAATCACATATAGTATGGGACATATAATTATATCTCCCATTTAGGTAAAAACCAAATATCGGAAAATTTTAAATACATATTTGATGATTTAATCAAAAACTTTAATAAAAAATGCAAAAGCATATTACATAAAAGTATATGTGGTAATTCTCACTTAAGACGCCATATGTGTGTTAAATGAGATTCATTTATTCCTAAAAACTCAGTATATTCAAACGAAAACAATAAATATAAATAATTCCTTAACTATTATAAAAAAATATGTGAAACCATGATTTACTATTGCCCCAAAGATATGCGTGTTGACTCGATAACTGGAGATGGCTTTAAGAAAATGGCTCAATATTTTATTCAAATTGGCTCTATTTATACTAATATTGACAGTAGAGACTAGAGAGATTATTCACCATCCAACTACTTTATCAAGAAATGCAATGATTATGACAGATCAAATTAGAATAGATTTAGTGAGTAAAATAAAGTCAATTATCTGATAAAAACTGCCGCCACCACTGATATATACACAGATTCTTTCAAAAAGTTTTCCTATTTAATCTTTTTATTGAGATATTTATATTTGTAATACAAAATGTTAAATATAAAAAATTAAAAATAAACCAATAGCTAATATTAAAAAAATCTCTTTATTTAAATAAATTTGGGCCTATTTTGAGTCGGGTTTTTAGGGACAAATAAAAATAAATTTCGGGATCAGGCTGGGCCTGCAAAACTTTAAAAATTTTTTAGGAAGAGCTTAAAAAATTAGGCCCGATACAAATCACTATCTAGTAAAAGCATCTAATTTTGATCAATTTATTCAAATGCTGCACAAAAGAACTTATCTTTTGATATATAAGAAACACAATTAATGGTCTAACAGAATTTGAATATGAATTGCCTGGAGTTTGCAAATTAAAATTTGTGGAAATGCCACTGTTTAATAAAATATACTCGTTGGATAAATATATAGAAATTTTTATTAATTTTTTTAAAAATTTTGACTCATAAGAAAATATTGAAATAAAGATTAATGTGTTTGTAATTTAAATATAATATATTAATTATAATTGTAGGAATATGAAATATGTTAACAAATAATGCTTATTTCTCAAACGATGTTAGTCTTCTACTGACGAAAAGCATATAAAAAAACACTAAATACCTTTCTATATTTATGACACTATCATGCATGGGTTACGTTCCTAAGAATTATACTTTGAACTGGACACACTATTCAGGATGGACGTTTAACCCAAGGCCATGTTAATTAGCTGTATGGTAAATTATGTAATTGCTGCCATTAATCCTTGCATGTTTATTTTTTCTAAGATGAAAATCGATTATTTTATATGTATGGCAAAAGGTTGTGTATAAAAATTTAGCAATCGAGCATTTTTATAAATTTCAAATGTTTAATATATTTTTAAAATAGCCTGATTTAAAATTGCAAATTAAACATATGTGAATAATTTTTTGACATATAATTTGTTTTTATTTAAAATATTTTTTAAATTACGAAATGCAATCTTCAAGAATCATTCTTCATAGCATTTTTAGCTCCTAGCATTTATGTATGCTGAGATTTTTTCCCTCTGTTTAGTGATGCTATTGTTTTATTATTCATTTATTATTTATTCATTAAAAAAAACTTAGCTCCTTACGAAATGAAGGGTAGAGGTCGGGGAGAAGTTAGGAGAAGCGGCTGGAGAAATAGGGAGAGCGCTTCTCAAAGCCCTGACAGTAGGAGTAGATCGGGTTCTACATCTTCGCCAAAGCATTATGGTAGAAAAAAAGAAACATCCAAAAGAAAGTCGGAAAGAAGTTTTACCAGAAGTCGCTCATCCAGTCGTAGCCGTGATAGTTTTTATGATAAGAATGGTAGCAGAAGTCATACTAAGAGTCCCCATTTTGCCAGTCAGCAAAATGGCAAACGCAGAGCCAGGTGTCACTTATTTTATAAATATGATCAGAGACTTGCAGACCTAGTTACCCAAGTTATAGTTTTATAAACACAGGCGGCTTAAAGATTATTTATAAAAATTACAAACCAAAGCAGGTTGAAAAATTCACACGATGAATCATTTAAATATACATTAAGCTCTCATGTTTTCAAGTTCCCCTTTAACCCATGGAAAATTATTTAATTAAAAACCTTAGGTCTGGTCTAAAGATTAACAATATCGACTAGGTAAGAAAATGGAGAATAATCTAGGGCTGGACCTGAAAATGAGGTTACCTCTGCAGGTCTTTGAATAAAGTTAATGGCTTTTTGTTTCATTGATTTGATATATTCACCAAAACCGATCCGATTCTGATCATTTAAATTAATATATAATTTTTATCTTATTTATTTTATATACATAAGATTAGGATAAAGGTCTATAAATCATACTTATCCTATTATATGCTTAAATTTGAATAGAAGAGTTATCCAGAGTATTAATACTTATTCGGCATAAATTTTTAAATTGATAGTATAGATAATAGGAAAAAATGAAATTTAAAAATTCAAAATAAATAAATACTTGAAAATTTGTTAATAGAATATATTGTCAAAGTTAACAATTATTAGGCAATCGATATTGAGATGGATTTATTTCATTTATATGTTTCTCATTAAGTTTGCTGCTTCTAGAGATTTGGTTTTAATAATTTTCCTCCAAAGGCAGAATTATAGTTAGGAAAAAAAAATTAATAACAAATTTATATTTTAGTGATTGCAAAGTTATATAGAATTAAAACTTTTATGGGCATCATTCCATTCAATCATAATATTTCAGAACGATTTTCGAATCTTTTGATGACTTAACTTAGCAAGTTAAATTTGGTTTGAAATATGTCCTTCAAAGGTCGAGTTATTAAAAATCCTATAACTACTTTAAAAATAAGGGTAAGGCATTTTGAATATTTCCTAGGGTATGTAAGTCATGATGAATGGTCAAGTATGATCAAAGTGCAAAAAATGTTTATTATGAAGGGTTTACCGTTGTTTTCGCACAGAAACTTTTATTATGATAACACAAAATACGTAGTCAAAATTTTTTATGTGTTATTTAACTTGAACATCATATAAAAATTAATAAAAAAAAAATGTCAATACCCCTATTTTCGATCAAATTCCCATTCAAAACGTAAAAAAAAATATTTTTTTACATTAAATTTATAAATCATTTATTTAAAAAAATTTTAATTGATTTTGTGCATTAATGGTATACATAAAAGTATATTATAAAATAATCGAAATAATCTTAAAAAATTAATTTATGTCTAACAAATAATATTTAATCATATTGAAAAATTTATATATCGTTATTTTAATAATTAATGGGAGTGGAGTCATGAACTAAACAAGGATTTATATATAATTAGTCATTTTTAACCTCCATTGAAAAAATTTGATTCTATATTAGTTTCCAAATCTTATAAAGCAAAATTATCATCGTACATAAAAAATAAGAATAATTGAATATTTTTTTCTATAAAAAAATCACAACTTTATTTGTATTCAATAAGTTTATAGATATTCTTCTTTTTTTTAAGAAAATAAATTATTTCGATTATTTTATGATATATTTTTATGCAATAACCATTGATGCACAAAATTATTTTATGCTGATAAATTTATTTAAAATTGTTTAAGATAATTTTATAAATATCCCGTTGACTTTTAATAAAAAATTTATAAGTTTATTGCAATTTTTTTTTATAAGTGAATGAGAATTTGTTCGAAAGAACGATAAAAATAAAAGCATTGGCATTTTAATTAATATTTTTTATATAATATTCGAATTGGAGATAACAAAATATAAAAAATATTGTTTATGGATTTTACGCTCTCATAATAAGAATTCCTTTATGAAAACAACTGCAAACCCTGTATATTTAAATTATGTTTGGTTTATTTAATTAAAATTTTACAATAATATAAAACGTCCTTATTATTAGTGCTGATTAATCGCTCCATTTGAGCCTGTTCCAAATATGTTTAACCGAGTTTTATGCTTAAAATAATTAATTCATCCTGTCGGATTTTTTTTTGAGGATATTTAACTTTTACCATTACCTATGTCAAAATATGTCAATTCACCAAATTATATCGTGATATTTTTTTTATAATAATCTTTGAAATAAGGTATTACGCGGATTGAATTACAACATTAGATTAAAAAATTTTAAAGCATGAAAAGAAAAAAGGTATTTTACAAGTTTGAAAAACTAATCTGATTAGTGTGTGACAACTTCTGCATCCGTTATCCATCATCAATCTTGGATACAAAATGATCCCTTGATAAAAAAAATCATTAATAAGTCTACTAGGGTTTGCAGGTCACAAATTTTCTTTGGCTTTGGGCGTCAACAGAAAATCTGAACTAAAGTTATTTCCCTCTTTTATTCTTCTAAATTTTATTTGAGTCATCGAATAAAAGGAGCGCATAAATCTATATTATGAGAACATTCGTTCTTATGGAAGAATACCCACTATAAAATTTCTACAAATCTTTTTAGCAAATCAGAGTTGTTAAAGTAGCGCGTTACTTTTTTTTAATTATTAATTTTTTTACCGCGCTCCTTTTTTTTAAAGTAGCTAAAAATATAATGAATATAACTATAAACATGAAAATTTTAATATAATATCATAATTAATTATTTTTATGATTTATTATTTAATTTTAAAAATGAAATTTATATTTTCAATTTGTATTATAAACCTAAATTATCTGGTGTAAATTATTTAAAATGGATATCCAAATCGATGTTAGTGAGTCAGAGACAATGATGATATTAATGAAATGGAAGGTACCTTGGAAGAAAATGTTCTTGATAACAATAATACACATTTTCCATTTTTAAAATTTGGAAAATATCTCAAATTAATGTAAAAACAAAAGGTGGCTACAAATTTGTTTGTTTAAAATGTAAAAAAAATATATCCTCAAATAAATCTAGTAGCTATAACTTCAAAAAACACCTAAAGGTAATTGGCATTTTTAATCTAATAGTATTTTTATTTTGTATTCATGCCAACAGTTTTAAAGAGATAGAAAAACATTTAATAATATTGGTATAGGGGAGACTAAAAGGCCAATTCAATCTAAAATGTTAATAATATTGCACTTGCTAATATTTCTCAGAAACTGACTGATAAAGTTATTGTCGATTTTATAATTGATATAGTTCAGCCAATGCCATTGGTTGATAATCCATCATTTATCATGATGATTTAAGCTCTATCCCCTGGTACCACAATTTTAATAGACAAGAATGATTAAGATAGCAGATAAATTTGAAGTGATGAAAGATGCTCTAATAGCAGAGTTGTCAGAGATATCCTATATTTATATACCATGGCAGATATTTGGACACATAATAGAACGTAAAAACTTATTTATATTTATAAATTGATCTGTTAAAAATAAGTAAATAATACTGCCTTCCCCTCAAGTTCTAGTGTTGAGAAATTTTAGTTAGGCGAAAAATAATTTCTGATCGTCGCTCTAGACTTGGGAATGATATTATAGAAATGATTTTATTATTAAAATGCAACAGAATAAATAAAAAATGAATATACCATTAATATTTATTTTTATTACATAAATTATAGTTTTTTTACATAATTTTTTTTATAAGAAAAACTAACTATATTTAAATATTTATAAATGTTGATTTTTATCTTTTATATACTATATAATTACATTATAAGCAAAAAAAACAAATTTATTTCTAAATTTTTTCTATAAAAAGTAGCCAGAAGTACTTTTAAAAAATAGTAACTAATAGCGCGCGACTTTTTTTTGACGGGTAGCGATAGCGCACTACTTTTAAAAGTAGAGTCCAACAACTCTGAATATAATACAATTTTAATCATTTTATTTACATAAATAGGCAAATAATTGTCAAGGATTTTTCAAAAAACATTCGCATTTGAAGCGCTACTTTTTGGATGAGAAGAAAAAACTGCCTTTTTTCTAGCGAAATTTCTCATCACTATTTTTATTTCTAATCGGCTTATTATAAATGTATTTCATTCCGCTGTATCAGAAAGATTAAAATTATACACTAAATTTGTCGATCTTCGTCATTGACAGCATTGCATTAGGTGAAAGTGGAAATATAATGTTGACTGGTTCAACAATCCACTTAAATTAATGTAAGGTTTATGTGTTAATTAAAGATATAATTGTAACATCTTATAGAATCTTTCTTATACATAAAAATAATTAATCCTTTTTCGAAAGCAAATTTCCTAATTTATCCGAAAAAATATCTAAGTCGTTTTAACTTTATGGTTATTTTACAACAAAAGGTACATGAAAAAAATATTTAAAAATAAAAAATTTGAAATCAGTTTACCTTAATAATCCTAACAAACATGCTGAACTAGGAATCATCATTTTTGTAAATATGAAGAATAAGGGAACGATTTATATAAGGTGGATTTGTCTAAGCGGAGAACATTAACGGAAAAACATATACTACACTCTTCGATTAATGAAAATTATAGAATAAAATGAGACAAAATTTTATATTATCAAACAAACTTAATGTTGTTTTAAAAACATTTATTTTTATTTTCGATCATATTTGACCTGGGCAAATGGCTAACCCTAGTGTATTTTTATTATTATTAAATTTCACAATCGTTTTATTTTATAATTTAATTTAAATGTAGAAAACGATCTCTTACTCCATCATCCAGATCAAGATCACGATGAACATGTCGATCAGATTTAACATATATTCTTATGCTCTTTCATAAATATATTTTTAAATCTATATGTTAATTTTTTTTCATAATACAATATTTTATTTGTTTGTTAACTGTTCCGGCAGATATTTTAATAACATTACTCCCTACTTTAGATCATAATGATTATTTTTGGAATATATCTTGACTTTTTACTCTATTTAATATACTGTATATCCTATGTAGGTTGGAATAAATCCATAGTATAGAGTTTATATAAAAAATTCTTTCTTTATAACATATCAATATAATCTTAATCTTAGTCACCTGTTTAAAGATTTAAACACATTGACAAAAAATACATAATGTGAATAAGATATTTTGTATGTAGTATACATATTATATCCAATTAATTTATATTATATGGAATTAACATATATAATTAATAAAGTTACTAAGATTTTATATATAAAAGGATTTCTTATACACCAATTTTTTGTAGAAACCTATTTTCTACTACGAAAGTAAATTATTTTCGACGTTTTTAACTCCCTCTTTTCCTCTATTTTCTATGACTTGAGTTACCCTCTATTTTAATCAAGGTACTTTATCCAATTAGTATTGCTTATGTCCCACCTGTCCAACATCTCAATTTTTTTCTTCTTTAGACAATATTTGGCATTTTACCTCATGAAATATCATTTCATACTTGAAATTTTTTTAAAATTCTTATTCTTGATAATTTAAAATAAAATTATAAAAAATGGTCATTCCACAAAAATGATTGTGAAACTAAAAGTTGTCAAAAATAAGTATAATATTTGAAATAATAATTTATATTTTTGGTTTTGGAAAGATAATTCTTTTAAGTCATGATGTAATCATTCTGATTTTGTCTCCTAAATTTTTTATACAAACATAATTAGTTAATTTGGACTATTTATTTTCTCGGCATATCAACCTAATTTGAATTTAAATAATCTGGAAAGGAAGACATGCAAGTGAAGTCCCAAATACGAATTTAGCTAAAAAACAAGGTACTGTAATTAAATCATCTGACCTCAGCCCATTATCTGATGGTAGATTAGCAAATTCTCATAGAAGTACAGCTAATAATTCTATTAATTGCTTCATGTTACGATTATATTATAAATACAATTACAACCATATATCTCTTTGGAAACAGCCAACATTTTCAGCATTCGTGTGGCTGAATGATGTACACCCAATTCGATGGCCTATGACAACTCTTAATTATTCATCTGATAAGAAATTGCTTAGGTTATAAATTGATAATTCTTCCAACCATTTATGACCACTAGTATATTAGCGTTTTGTAAAAGGAGGATTCGATGAGAGTATTTAAAAAAAAAGAATTGATGTGTTAAAATTGCGTGTAAAACAGTTTCTGGCAAGGCCATAGATTTCTAAGCAAATTTAAAAGGTTATCTTTAGGAGTGATAAAGAAATATACCATTCCGGTGTTCATCAAACATGTTGCCAATGAAGGAGATATTAGACTTAATGAATATAAACCTAAACCTCCCATCTTCTAGGGTAGTTGTGAGGAACCCCAGGTAAGATCACTATAAAAAAAACTTCACCAAAACGATTAATAATTTCATAATTTGAAAAGAAAGAATAGGATTTAAAATATACAAAATTTTTGGCAAATATAATTGTTTTTTTTCAAAAAAATTTTGATGTGAAGGATTTTTTTTAAAAATATCTTCCAATCTTGATAAGCCTAAAACAACTTTTCCTGGAACATCTCACAGTTGGGAAACTGCTTAAAGGTGAACCAAAAGATTTATTTCACTCAAATAATTTTAAGCCCCAAAACTTCAAATATTTGAATTTAAAAAGTATATTTCAGATTTAAAAAAGTCTATTTTCTATGTATTCTTTCGCCGCTAACATATTTTTAGATACTTTCATAACCCAGATACTATATATTTATGCATAAGTTAAAAAAAATGAAAATATATTCAAGCTAAAAATAAAAGAGCCTTGTATATCTCCTCAGAAGAAATTATATCCTAAGGTTGAGAGGGGTTCTACGATCATAAAATTGTTCAATAAATTTTTTATATATCGAAAATTTTTCTTTAAAAATGTTTTGAAAATTTTTCTGGATTAAAGGCATTTTTAAAATCTAGCCTGCAGATTACGGTGTCTGGTGATTATAATATAGGACGATTATGATATATATGGGTAAAGAATGTGCAACGATTTCGCATCCCCAGTTAGTGCTAATTTGAAGATCTTGTTTGATGCGCCCAACGATTATCTAAGTCTCCTAAAATTGAGTTTTCTGCAATGGCTGAATCCCATCATCAGGCTTCGATAGTGCAACTAATCTTGCACTAAAAAGATTGATTAACTTGGGTTGGTAAATCTGTGTTTAATATAGCTAAGTATTGTCTATGTATTTACATCCTGAGCAGGATTTTTAGGGTTAATTATAAATTGATAATAAGAAGGTCGAAACCCCTCAATACTCCCTATTTAGTTTTTATAAAAAATAGAACTCTTAACAAGCTCATCCTCATAGATTTCAATTCAAATAAATCTCATAGGAGTGGGGAGTAGTGTTGTTAAACGGCTCGATTAAGATTTTAGCCAAAATTAAATAATATAAGCCTTGAGATTTTGCTCATAGATGGCAAAAAGGTTTGGACTTTATATGTCATATCTAGGTTTACATAATATTGTTTTGGCTAAAATCGTAATCAGGCCGTTTAACAACATTAATGAGGAGATTCTCAGTAAAAACCTGAAAAATGTGTTTGCCTACAAATTTTTATTGAGAATGAAAGAGGTCAGCTGAAATTTCATTTTTCTTGCTCATTTTCTCTCCCCAAAATAGTAATGCAATTATAAAAAATAAGTTAATCTTGGAAATAAAAATTAATTAATAAATAAATGCAAAGCCAAAATTACAGTAAAACCTTCAATTGTGACCACTTTTTTTATATTGATTATCTCCTTTTTAGTGGTCGTTTTAATTCGTCCCTTAAGATACTATTTATTTTAAAAAATAATTCTGTGATTTGCCCACCTCTTTAAATTCATCAGCTAATAAAGCTTCTTTAAATGGTTAAATTCTACTATTTTTTAAAATGTATCCCAGCCAAGGGTCAGCAATATGCGGACATAAAGCTTCCAATATTATTTATGAAAGGAAACCATCGTGTTTCTTAAGAAAACCTGACCAAGCTTATGTATTTCAAACGCAAAGTATCATTTCAAAGTTTATAATGATGTTTTCATCGTAAAGGCGTTTTTCATTTAAAAAGGACGCCAATTTATAAATAAATAATACTTAAAGATGTTAGGCACATATAATTGATTAAATAAATTTTACATTCTTTTATTAAAAAAGAATTGAATAATGAGAATTTTCTAAAATACGCTATAATTTGTGTGGGGTGTGTTCCCAAAGTCTCTATCTTGAAAGCGACTTTTCCCTTATGGGATCCGAGTTTGACCTTTTCAAATCGTAGAAGTGATATAATATTCTTTTTACTACAAAACAATTTCTTAAATCCAGGGCTTGAGATTAAAAAATCCTATTTTAACCAGAGTTGCTAAAGTATCTCGTTAGTGTAGCACGCTATCTTTTTGGCAGTATAGATAATAGCTCGTTACTTAGCTACTTTTTAAAAATATAATGAATGTAACTATAAACACGAATATTTAAATAAATTATAATTTTTATAATTTATTATTTAATTTTTAAATTTATATTTTCAATTTGTTATACAAACTTAAATCATCTGGTATAAATTATTTATAAATCGCAAATCGATATCCAAATCGATGTAAGTGAGTCAGACAATTATAATATTAATGAAATGGAAGGTACCCTGGATGAAAATGTTCTTGATAACTATATTAAAAATTTTCCATTTCCAAAATTTGAAATAAGGGAGAAAATACCAATTCAATTCGAGCTAAATTGATTAATAATATTTAGTGAAGGTCAACGGTCCGGTCCTATCGGTCTTAGACCGGACCGATTGTCGGACCGATCTTTTTGTTGAGGACCATAGTCCGGACCGGTCCTTGGTCTTTTATTAATATTTAAGTTTACTTTACTATTCAATTAATATAATTTTTTTGTAAATTTTATTCTATGATATTTTTCTAGAGGTGTTATTTTAGATTTTGTTAATTTTTTTTTTACAATATGAAAACCATAAGTTTGTCCAAGAAACATTTTACTTATAGTCTTAATAAAAAACATAGAATATGTGTTCACTGTAATACCAAATTTAACATATCGTCAGCAACAAGTAACAAAATAAATGTTTATAATTTTTTAAGCAATAAATTAATCAAAATAAGCAGTATTATTATTAAAAGATTTTGGTTATTATTTATATATCTATTTTTTCTTAAAAACTGTCTGAATAATTCATTGTCAAATTAATTTAACCTTATTCTTAATAAAATAATTAGGTACCTTAAGCAGACATTTGATAAAACATAAAATTTATACTTCTAATAATGAAAATGAAAATATCTCAAAAACACAATCTACTCTTAATTTAAATATGCCCTCCACAAGTACAAAATCACTTTCTTCAATACCATTGGATAAATTCCAAACAGATCATATGAACCAACTCATTATAAAATGGGTAATAATGGACTCTCTGCCAATGAAGACTTTTGAAAGTTCAGGTCTTCATAATTTAATCAAATATTTAAACTCAACTGCTACAATTTGGTCAAAAAACTTAGTTAAAAATTTTTATACAGCTAATTTTGAGAAACTAAGAAATTCTCTAAAAGATATTTTAAATAAAAATAATTCTTTAATAAGCTTTACCACAGATATGTGGAGCAATTTAAACAAAATTTCATTTATAGCCATTACCGCACACTATATTGATTCTTCCTTTACATTAAAAAATATTTTACTTGATATAAATCATATCCCATTTCCTCATACTTCTGAAGAAATATCCTTAGCTATAAAAGAAGTAATTGATGTATATCAATTGGCGGAGAATATACTGGCCTGTACTACAGATAATGCCAATAACATAAAAAGCATGGATATTTTGCAGAATATTTATAAGGAACAAAAATTTAAAGGCTTTAGATGCTGTGCCCATATTCTAAACCTAATATCTCAGGAAGGTTTATCATATATTACAACTATCCCTGAAATGTGTAGAGACATAGCCTTTTCTATAAATAAATCACCCAAAATAAATCAAGCATATGTACAAATATGTGAAAATAAGGATATTACAAAATTTAAAATCCCTTCTGATATCCCTATTAGATGGAATAGCTCCTATTTAATGAAGAATACAATTT